TACATACTTATAAAGATTTAATAGTCGTTTACATTTATCAGTATTTCATTCCCCAATTTTACGAATTATGAATGCAAGCATACTTTTATTTACGTCCTTCTATTTATCCCTATAGTATTGTTTAATGCTGCCAATTCTAAATTCTGCTGATTCCAAATTCATCCATATGTTCATCCATATATGCTTACACAATTTTGCGTGTCGAAGGAATATTAAAATGCATGCATATACTTCTGCCCGATTTTACTAATAAAAATTCTGTGTCCACAGTAGCGTCTACATGGTTTCTCAATTTTGCTCGGTAAAATACCTTTGCAAAGATATATTCCTAATAAATTTCAGTGGTAGATTAAAATTCATACAACATTTATGTTTTCGACTAATTCAACTAATTCAAAATACATTTAAATGATAATATGCATAATTCTTTGGAGTCTTACAGACTTTATACTCATTTACATAAAAGCATACGTTCTTGCTCAATTTTACTGACTTAAAATGTACCTTTACATTTTAATCCTTGTATTCTGACTAGTTTGGATGATTCAAAATACATTAACACGTTCGTCGTCACTATATTACCGAATTTAACAGAAGTGAGATCTACGCAAAAGCAGCTCAATTTAATTTTAATGTATTTAGTAAATTCATGGAGCATTTGTGCGCTCATGTGCATAATATTGTACAATTTTACAAACTAAATTTAGTTAAGTTTGTATGCAAATTTTTGCTTACTTTTACTAACTTAAAAAATACATTTACACTTCCATCTCTGTATTTTGATTAATTCTACAAATTAGAATTACAACCCTGTTTTAATCCATATTGCCGTACCCTGAGACTCCCCCGAGAAGAAAGAACAAAAAATATCAGAGCGAAATCCGTATATCTTTTAGACACATAGAAGAGGCTGGCGCTACTAGTGTGGACCAGAGAGCAGTATCCTCGATGAAGGTAGAACATCGGAGGCGCAAATTGGGCCCCTTTACTAAAGCCGAAAGCTGAATAAACAGGCAACATGTTGCAGCATATTTTTCTTAATTTTAATCATTCAAAATACAGCAACACGTGTACTTACACATTCTTGATTGAATTTGATAACTATAAAGTACATTTGCGTGTACATCCATATAATCTTGCACAATTTTACAAATTCAGCACGTATTTAAGTACTTTCATGTATCCCTGATCAAGTTCACCAACTTGGAATAATCTGTACTTTCATTCCTATCTTTTGCTCAATTTCGCTAAATGGAATGAAATTCATATGATTATCCATTTTTTTACAATTTTACAAATACAGTAAATATTGGCGTGTGTGTAAAAATTTTTTGCTCGATTTCTATAATTTAAATATTTTGAAATGTTTTTGAGCAATATTTCTGCTTTAAAATAAATCTCTTGCATGCGTATAATCTTGCCCAGTATTATGTTTTTGTTTTAACTTCAGGACTGCTTGCATACATTGTTGCTCAATATTACTAATTTAAAATGCTTTTATCCATGCATACTTGCAATATTACACACTTTACTAGTTAATAGACATCTACAACTTCTCACATTTAATCTTCTTTAATTTTGCAAACCTCTAATACATTTACACGTGCATTCAAGTGTTCTGGACCAGTGTTTTATTTCATTATTGCAATCTTTTTGCTTCTATTTTTCGTTTTACTTCCCCACTCACCTACATGTTTTGCCCAATTATTTAAAATTTTGAACACATATAATCTTGCAAATTTTTGACATTTTGACTTACCTCACCAACTGCTTACCATTACTCTCGCTCACCTCATCCAATCCTTAAAACCCCCACGCGTACATCTAAGTAATCCTAGCCAATTTTATTATTTAAACCAAAACCATCCATACTTACACATGATTTTATTCACCATTATTATTTCAATTAACTTCCACACCTACATATACATTCCTGCTCATTATTATTACTACTATGAGTGATCCCTATTCGCACATACATATAGTGCTCTTCTTTCTATATTTTAATATTTATTTTCAACTTTATGCAATCATTTCAGCTCCATTGTACTAATTTTAGTGCAACCACACTTACATCCAAATATTCATGATTAATTTTTCTAGTTAAAAAAAATAGTCTAAAATAGTCTTATTTGCTTTTCCTGTCTTTTTTCTACTTCTACACCTACGTGCACATATTTTTAATTACCACTACTAACTTGAAATACATTTTTGTGTGTGCACATATAAACTTGCACATTTGCAATATTTTGATATTTCCGTTTAGCGTCATGAATATCTTTTTGCTTAGTTTTACTAATTCCTTATGTAATTCACATTAACGTTTACATATCGGTAATAGAATTTATTATCATGCGTGTTTTATGCATGAACACTAGTGTAAACATGATCATCATTACCATTATTTCGTAGTGCTTTAGCATCACATGCATGTATTCCTGCCTAATAAAAAAATTTATTTTATTATTTATGCAGATAATAGTCCATCTTTTCATTATTTACTTTTTTTTTCAACGTCACACTGATTGTGAACATTTCTACTAATTCCTTACACATTCACACTTACAGCCTGCATCAATTTTGACTCATATTGAATCCATACGTACTCACATATAGTTTTTCCATCTATAGCTTTAGTTTTACTTTCAGCTCTTGCATGCATAGTTTTTAATCGGGTATCAGCGCCCACATACACATAATCTTCCACATTTGTTTTACTTTTATATAGTTTTACTACCTCATAGACATCTTTTTTGCCCAATTTAGCAAAATTTGAAAACACCCACAAGCACACCTGATTATTCCTGATCTAATTTTGTGAATCGAAATAAATGCACACGTGCCTACATACAATCTCGCCCACCACTGTTTTTGCACTTTTTTATCACCTACACACATGTAATTCTGCTCAATTTCTTAGGTAATAAAAACATTTGTATGCACAGGCATATATCTTTGCACACGTTTATATTTTACTATGCGTCTTTAACTTCTTTATGCCCAATTTCTTTAAGTTTTTTAATACATCCGCAAGTACGTTCAAGTAGTCCTAAGCAATTACATAAACCGGAATAAATTCGCAAGCACTTGCATCAGTCTTGCCTATTTTGGCAATTTCGTTCTGCTTTTAAATTTTCGACCATATTTTCTTGCTCGATTTTTCTACTTCAGCATAGTATAACATATGCCTTTCAATTGGTGCATCAGTAGTGACAAGTGCTATACATTGCCTTAATTTGCCTCAAAATACTTACAATTTCATGGCGATGCACTCAAAAGTAAAAGATAATAAAAGGGCCCATAGTTTCCCACCAAAGGCATGTTAGTGACACAATCAACTGTTGCCGTATTAATATGCTATTATTCTAATGCCGACTGGGTGCTAAAACACAAAACAAACACAGCTAAACTTATGTTTTACTAGATCGCCATCTCCCATTGCCGCGCTGCTGCTCAGGAGCTTGTGTTCGTGATGGCAGAGAGCTTGAGAATGTAAGACGCAATAATACATATGAAGATGGTCATAATCGAGAGGCCAATGGTAAATAGGCGAAAGCAAACTTGGTAGTAGCTTAAGGGTTTTGTGCGCTGTTGGTTTCAGTGCTTTTTTGAGAAGTTTTCAAAGCAGCAATCAAAAAATTAGGGCACTTTTCTTACAGCGACCCATTGACATGAAGAGCTCGGAACTGAGGGAGTTTGTGAGAAAGTAAGTGCATGAGTGAGCATTTTGTCGTAAATGTATGGACAGGTGGTGACAAGAATTACACCATTGTAAATGGCAGTGCGCTGCTACCTTGAATTTTTAAACCAACAGAACTAAGGCAAAACGTGACAGCATGGCTTGATGAAGTCCACGCATTGACTGGCAAAACCTATCATCGGTAGTTAGATTGATGACTGCCTGATGACAAAGGTAAACTGTGTTGTGTGTTAGTCACTATGCCATATGTTTGAGGCTCATTTATGAGTCAAGGTAGTGTGTGCATCATAATGCGTAAAAGAGTGATTTTTGGAAATCTTTTCAGCAGGAAATAAAGCGAAGCTTAAGTAGCAGCGCCACCTTGTACAAAGTGATAAAATTTTGAGTTAAGGGCACCACAGGGGACGGCTGCGCCAAACAAACGCATGTTGGTGGTGAGATCAAATTCAATGTTTAAATATAACAGCAATCAAAGATTTGACGGACCTGTATCTTTGAATACGCTTTTAGTTATAAGCTCAATGACTACAAATAGCATAGTGAAGACGGTTTGACCAATTTTTGTTTAATTAATAGCGCTCAGTTTATATAAGACAAATAAATGAAAAACGTTCCGAAATTGGCGTAATCTTCTCAACTGGTAATAACATCCTGTCGCATTGAGGCGTTACTAATTAATAATATATATACGGCATTACTGTAGCCCAGCATCCTTATGTATGTACAACAAAACAGCACGGTGAATAAGAACGAGAAATAAAAAGTCAAATGAATGCATGTGAATAAAAAAGTAGGATTAGAGTACCAGGAAAAAGGGCGTAAAAATTAGTGGAGAATAGACTTACCCTGCCTCGAAGAAAATGCAGACGGATTATTTAAAAGTTATTTGGAGTGTGCTATACATATAGATGTGTAGATGAATGGGTACGTGGTATGAGAAATTTAAATAAAGGGAGAATTAATGAAGAAACACTTATGGATAGGTAGCTTGGTGGGCTGTGGCTACTGGTTTGGCTTCTATTGCCATAGTTCCATGAATTTCAAAACGTTTTGCGAATTTAATGTCTCTAGGTGACCCAAGTTGCCAAATAAATAACGCAGCTTAAAGTGGGAACCGCAACATTTGCTAGATAGAGGACATCACCATATGGGTCAGGTTAGCACAGCACATCTCAACTACGTTGAAGTCCTCTTGGGTGACATCTGCTATTCATCATTACGTTTTAGTGAAGCAATTTTCATTTAGGTCAGAAGTTGTAGCACAGAGGGAAGGAAAAGTGAAAAAAACGGAGACTAGGCTTTAGATTGCTTTGATATCCTCCCCACTGGAGAAGACAAAACGCAGACACTGAAGGTACGTAGGAGAAGCAGAGCAACTGCAGCGGAGTAGGAACATGTGGCTCACCAGAGCATATTGCTCATTAAGGACCGTAGCTTTTGGGTGGCAGAAACCGATTTTCTTGGCATTTTCCTAAATACATGACGGTCTGTTTGACAAGTTAATGATAGAAAAAATACCCCATAGCAAATGCATGTTGGAAAGAAATGTTTATATCAAAGGACATTGGACAATTCAAGATGGAGTGAAATAATAAAGAAAAATGCATTTTCTGTGATTGAAATTCAAAAATAGGCTAGCGCCACGGCTTGGAGGTCAGTGTGAATATCTGCTGGAGAAAGGTTGTTGTGAGAGGTTTACTAGAAGACTAGGCCAATAATTCTACAGATTCATATTTACAAGACACACCCGTGTCGTACAAATTCGCTGACAGGACCAAATAAAATGTGTGAACAATTAAGTTGATCGAACATAGGTGAACCTTCAACGAACATGCCTTCCATTCTCGAGAATGGGAGGTTCAGCTTGTACTGCACCATTCCCAACCACGTATCGTCAATGACCATGGGTTTGGTGAAGTGCATTGCCAGAGCCAAATCGTGCACATGGCGGTAACCCCACACACTGTAGATGCCCAAGTACTCTGGCGTGTGCCTCGGCCAAGGGGCTTCGCGCTTCGAGAAGGCCCACCGTGGAAAGTAGCTGGTGGACCGAAAGACAGGATTCACAATCACATCGCAGCCGTGGTTCAAGTTGTCGCGCAGTTCCGGCGTTAGGCCACGGATGATGTTGGCCATCTTGTTGGTATTCACGGCATAGTCGTCGTCTAGATAGACAAGGACGGGTTTGTATGATCGACAAAATCGAGCAGCCCACTGGAATGTATGGAATAATTTCAGCGTCAGGTTGTAGTAGGAGTCTTCATAGTCACCAACAAGTAGATCGTTGTGTTCGTGCATCTCCTGAGAAAGCAGCATTTTAATCCTTGACGGGTCTTGCGAATATGTTATCAGCTTATTCCCTGCTCTATTCATGAGGGTTACATTGAATCCGTCTCGTTGGAAGATATTTCCTAGTGAAGTTCGTGGTAAGCCAATGGAGAAGATGAGGTGGATGTTGATATCGGTGTAAGAAAGGTTGTAGAGCTTGCGTAGTTGCCTCCTCTCCTCGAAGTTGTACACTCCTGACTTGTAGATAATGACCACAGTGGGGTGAGTCAGTGCACCAGTGAGCCCGATTTTGGCCCTCGCAGGTGTGAGAGGAGAGCACACTCTGGAGGGTACTCGAAGGAATCGAATCCATGGATTGAAAATGGGAGGCTGAAAGGGGTATGTGAGGTCATGGGATAGGACTCGCGAGACGACTCGTGCTTGATGGTATAGGTCGGAATGCCAAGAGTGGAACAATAAAGTACTTTGTTCATATAAATGCATTCATATATACACATGTTTGTGTATGTTAAGAAACAACATTATAAAAGAGAGCTCTCTGGCCTGCTCACATGTGGAAGTTGATATTTAAAACGCAGACAAACTATCTGCTGTGAAATATGTGCTTACCTGTGAAATCGGTTTGTCATTAATGAGTAACTCAATTGTCTCTCGCATGGGAATCGACTGCGGATAAAGCTGGTAGACGCTGCGATCGAAATTGGGCAACCACTCGGCATCCGGAATGCTTGCCAACTCCTCGAAAGTCAACAGTCTACTGCTTCCGTTTATTCGGATTTTCGACTCCTCGATTGTGGGTGTCGTGTTCAGTAGATTGGATTTGTCGTACACGCTGCTGTAGCACAGATGCAGCTGATAGTGACCGTCTGGACTCACAAAAATGCTGTTGTTCCATCCGCAGTGAGCATTGAAGAAATTGAGTTTATTCAACCAATTCTCTGTGGTCCAGGTTGTGAAGTGTATGGTATGGACGTAGAAAATATAGATTATGCATGCACAGGAAATGATGATGAGCAGTGCCTGTTTCCGCCCTATAGAAGGGGAAGAATAAGCGCGTACTCCCATAATTTAGGACTCAAATGAGCCAGTTATGCTGCAATGAAGCACTCAAATCTGTTGTGTGCTTCTTATCAGGAAACAATTTGCTGTGTGGGCTTCAGTGATCCACACTCTACAGTGACTGGATGGCGCACCATTAACACTTGGTAGCTGAGTGGTTGCGACCACCTTACCTCATCATCAACCTCATAATTGAGCGTAGGTGAAGGCTATCTTTCTAATTCCACTTATTTGCCTGCTGGCATCAACATGATTGACAGACTGACAGGCAGCAAATTGGAGGTTCTGAAGAATAAGTGAGCCAAATTGTGGCAATGATTTAAGAGTATCAACGTAGGCGCAATAGCAGTTGCAGATGTTAAGTATTTTTTACTTATCTGCTCTCAGCATTCAATGAGTTGATTGGTTCTCCTTCTTGCTATGCAAAAGTAGGAGAGGTGTGGATTTAGGGAGGACAAAGGATCAAAAACCTCGGAAACTTACATGAACACGTGTGTTATTGAGAGCAGTCACGTTGTTTATGAAGAGGTGAAGTTGCTGTCCACGGCAGATCTGACTATTGGTTGCACGTCATTCATCTAGACTAGTCCTAAAGTTAGGAAAACAAACTTACTCCCGTTACCCATCCTCACTGCAAATTATTGTGCTGACGACGCAACCACATCAGTCGCTTTTAGTCATGCAAGGTGTACTTTTACGTGTTTTGATAGAAAGTAGATGAGGTGAGCAGTTCGCCTTCACGCTTAATGTTGCAATTGTCTGCGATCCATTTCTCAGTTAGCAACACAGAAACGTTTATTTGCATTGGTTGCTAGTAGGTAACAATAGTTCCACAAAAGGACACCAATTTAAGTCACCATCAGGCAGTTGAGGGTGCACTTCCAATGCTGCAGATGTGGAATTAAGTGCTGGCATTGTGACAAGTGGTTGTTTCCACAAAAACACTGAGGATGACATGTCATTTGGAAATGTCTCTTAGCAACAGAGAGGCTGCAGTGATCAGATCTGAAGGACTTTAGAAAGTATCCATACCAATCTGTCCCTGTCCCCAAAGAGTGTTTTAAAATTAGGCTGAATTGTGTAAAGCCGGGTAGGTCTCACTGACTTCTACTAATCATTCACGCGCCATCTCTGTTCACTCAGTAGCACATGAACAAACAGTCTCACCATGATTTGTTTAAGACGGCTTCTGAAAGGAAAGGTGGACATCTAGATGCCGAGATAAGTGGCTGCTATAGAGGTTCTATCGTTCTGATTAACTGGGCAAATCAGATCAGATCACATCAGAGGAGACCAGAATAGATCAAGTTAGGTCAGAGTAAAAGAGATCAGATGAGGTTGGCGTGACTTGATTTTACAAATCACTCACCTCCCAGTTAATTTGCATGTGCTCTCACTCCCTCGAGGCCTATATATGCCTAACACCTGACATGAAAGAATGAGACACTTGATGCAAAGCCCACCACTCGGTACTTACCAGACGGTGACCTTAACAAGACTAAGTTAAAAGGCACTAATTTTTTTATGGGCATTTCTCCTAGGTGGCCTAAATTTACGGGGCACTTGTCATCTTCGGTATGATGTAAACCCCAACAAAGTTCAGACGACCGATTTTTAAAGCAACTTTAGCTCTTCTGTCCCTTTCTCCTACTTCTGTATCCTTACTCCATCCTATTCCATTTCTTCCAACTTAACGGCTGCAAGAGTTTGAGCAGAATTTCGGTTTGATAAGCCACGTGCCATGAGCATGTTGTTTTACCACCCTCATATAGAGGGAGAGGATTCTGCATGAGATAAATTTGCGATATGTGCGTGCGGGGATGAAATTTACGTTAAATACACAAATTTATGCATATATACAAACAAAGGTATGAGCGCATGTACATAGGAATGAAGAGGGTATGAGGTAAATAGAATGCATTTGGTGTGGTACATACGCATTGGTGTGGCTAAGTATGTATGTATAAATTTATATGTATAAAAAGAAATTTTGTTTTGAAAAATTGATTACATATACATGAATGTGCGTTTATAAATATAAAATTAGGCATAAAATATTTGGTTGCGCATGTATATATATGAATGTACATAAATGGAAATGTATTTTCCATTAAAAATTTACTGCACATATGTATTTTTGATGTATTTGTACATGTATAAAACCGCGTACATATGGATGGGATGGACAGACAGCAAATAGATTAGGCATATGCATACTTGTGAATGTGTGCTTGCAGGGGTGAAATTGTGTGCTGGAGTATTTGATTAAGTACATATTTATGTATGGCTGTGTGTATACGAAAAGAGATTTTTGTATTTGATAAATTGATTATGTATATTTATTCCTTGGAATGAGTGTTAATAGGGCTGAATATTTCAGTAATAATAATAATTAATTAATAATAATTATGTTTATATTTATGCATGAAAGTGGGTGTGTGGTGATGACTTTTAGCATTTCATAAATTTTACGTATGTGTGAATACAATGTGGAATATTTAAAGCAGAACAATTATTTTTATACGTACAAATGTATATGCACTGAAGTAGAAGTTTAAAAATTAGATATCTGTGAACTTCCTGGCGGTTTTGTGCTCACTGCGATAGGCGGTAACGGCGATGACATACATTTCTACAATGACGCGGGTGCAGACATGCTTGAGGTCTGCTTGCAACTCGTGTCTGCATCCTCCTTCATTTACTTGACCTAACACTGTCCCGTTTGATGTCAAGCGGCGTCCTACTTGGTGGTGGGGAAGGCAATTCTCCGTGTTGCTAGCAAATATCTGGATGGGGAGAAAGTACGGCACAAGCTGAGCTCATCCTCGACTAAGAAAACGCTGTCTTGCTGTGTTACCTCTGGCCCCAGAATGCTTTTGACTCTTGCAGAACAAGTAAGATGGCAGTTAATGTGACTTTGTCAGTACTGTGAGTCAGTTTATTTTGGGCGTGCGAATGCAGGCTAGATTACCTGCGCAACCACCTACCCGCGTCATTAGCTAGCCTCCTCATTTACTCTCACTGCCCGCGTATCCGCTCGAACCGCACATCGTATTCAGACGAATGCTACACGTGTCAAATGAATCTTGAAGGTGTTGCAATCTGGGCCACCAAAAAAACCCTTCGGAGTACGCTTTGCACCAGGATAATGGAAGTTGAATGCAAACAAGCAGTTTGAACCTACTATTGAACCCAAACACTCGTGACATTTACTTCCCAATCATTCTAAACTGTCGTGACCTCCTGCTAGATTGGATGTGTGGTATGAGACGCCAGTATCTTACTCTGTGAGTTGATCCTATGGATGCACGTGATTCTGATTAATGCCAAAGAAGATGAAATACGAGAATAAGGATCGTGGGCAGCTAAACGGTGGATCAATGACACACACATGGAATCTATGAATTGCAGTTCATTTCGCGAGTTTTGACAACTTCTCACACTTTTGATTTTGACCTCCCTTAGAGCAACCTCTAATAGGCTGTATTTTGGCTCATTTTGGCTCTTTTCAGGGACTGATTTGCCTTAAAGGAACAATTGGAGGAATTGGCTTATAGCATACTCATTGCGAGTGTGGTGATGTGATATTCATATTCACTGTGTTCCGACCTATAGGGTATGCTGTACGGTTCATGTCTGCAGATTCCCAGCCCTGCCTCACATAGGCATTGCATGTTTTACATAGCATATTAGATATTCCGACTTCAAAGATAACTCGTGTCACCCGTCTGCTCGGATAGTGGGCTATGAGCACGATAACGCTGCTACACTGATAAACGGACTACAACAAACACTCTTTGTTGGATGGATGGAAGTGCTGTGGATACCTCCGTGCCAAATGGCTCCTTGGATCACCAACTGTCCAGCATTCTGCAAAGGTTGAAGCCTGAGGCGACTCTACATCTAAATTGGTCAGTTATAATTGCCGCCTAAGATCCGGCTTTACTTCACGCACCATCATGCCATTTGCCATGATACAGCGCAATTTGGCTGTATTTTATTTAGTTTCCAGCAAATACGGAAGGGGTTGTAATGACCACAACTTAGAATATAATGTAATCTGTTTAATAGCACCGCAAATTATTAACAGATGGAGTAATGGCAGCCTATACTTGGATCATTTATAAGAATGAGTTAACTGAATAGGCTGTGTGGCAAAGAGACACATGCTAGTTATGAGTCAAGGTGGAGTGCCTTTGATTTGGAGGTGACTAAAGTTGGTACGTCACCCATGGGTAAGGTGTTGCATTGTATAAAGCAGGGCAAGAATTTTTGACCGAGAAGGCGAAATTGGCAGATTCCAGGATAGACCATGTCAGCGAGCCAAACAGAGGCATGGTAAATGGAATAATGTGGCGAGGTAGCCCACCCCCCCAAGCCGACTTGAACATTTGCTTTAAAGAGCACTCTTCAACTTTAAATTTAAATTCTCCTTTTGTTCCTCTCAGCAAGCCAAAGTCAAATACATCACACACACAACCACCATCTGCAAGTAGAAACATGTGATAGTGTCACACGCTCTCGTACTTTTGCAGTGATGAGAGCAGTAGATGTAAACCGCACACAAACATCGACGTGGGGATTTTGGTCTGCTTCGAACTAATTGCACGTTGTTTAATCTCCCGCAAGCTTGGCCCACACAGTACCTCGACACTTTTGCCTCCTCAGGCTAAATTTCTTCAGTCCATTTTTATTCTTGCACTAGTTTATCACTTAGCGTTACACAAGCTTCTCGGCATTGGATACGTAAAAGCCACTCTGTTAGTTAATCTCTGTCGCCTACACTACAACTAGTTCCTGTCGATTTTATCCACACCAACTTTTGAAACAGGCGATGCTTTACAACGGTACACTTGTATGCTGGATTTGAGCCTTCTTGAACCTTCTCAATGGTGCTAATCCAAACACATTCCAATCCATGAGGCTGTCATGCTAATTGTTTTCAGGTTGGCTAGGGGCTAAGTGAAATGCAATCTGACCGATCTAATCCAGGCTACTGCCATTTCCATGCTCGGATTTCCCTCTACTGACCTTAAACGAGCAGCATAAGTGCCAGAATAGAATTTATAAAAGCAACAGAGACTCTATAAGGTCCTTTGACAAAAAGCACAAGTTTGACAGTAAATGTAACGATTGGACTAAGAGGTGGCTGTAATTTAGATTTAAATTTGTGATCATGTGTCATGCGCTTCTCTAAAAATCGGTCGCAACTCAAGCTTCTTTGATGTCTCTTCACCCATGATTTCTCACTCTTACTTCACGATTTACGATTATAAGCGTAAACTTAGGACCGGTCGTAGTTCAACACAATTCGGCTGCATTGCATTCCGAGCACAACGAATGTGGAACGAGTATAAATGACAACTACATAGAATATAATGCATCTGGGTTAGCACCATCTAGAGGATTGAATAAATACGGTAATTTTGACTGGCAATTTACCAGTTTCAAATCAGTTGGAGCAAGATTTCCTAAAATCGGCTGAAAGTAGCATCAGTCATCAAAGTCAATGATGCCTACCCTTCAATCTTACTACATCTGCAGGTCATTTGACTCACACGGCTGAAGTATATTGAGCATGTGGCACAATGCGCTGAAGTACACAAGCAGTGAGGGTGACAGCACAGGACATGATTGGCAGGCTATGAATTGCATATCCGAGAATGATGAGATGAGGCTTTGTTATCACCAGGCACATGCGGTATTTCACATGGCATGCGTGACTCCAGCCCTTCACTACATTACCCAGCAAGCATCGTAGATGCATATTAAAGGGTGGTATGGATGGGATAAGGAGTCACCAGTGAATGCTAAAATGGTAAAATGTGAAGTGAAGAAATTGAAACTTGAACGAGGAGGTAAAATTGTTGGGTAGCAAGGCGAGTCACTTCAAGGGGGGAGGAGGACAGAGGCAT